CCCCCCCCCCCCCCCGTGTTTGGTCAAGATTTACCGGCCCGAGAGAGTCAAGCCGGTCTCAACAAGTGTTTGAAATAGTTGGTCCGTGTTCCCTAAAGCTTTGAGGCAAGAGGCTTCTTGAGTCGTGGGAGAAGGAATGTGACGCGGAAGGACTTGGTGGGAAGTCTGCGGGAAGACAATGGACGAGTTTGGAGACGTTGCAGTAATTTTCCTGGACACCTTGACTTCTGGACTCGTTATGTCATTTTCACGAATGGGAGAGGGGGGACGGGAGGGGCAGAGAGAGATCGTCTGATGTCCGCTAATAATGCGAAGTCAGGACTTTCTCTATTCATAATTTGGCTGCTTTTCTTGAAACTAGATACAATTAGGGATTTTTAAAAAAATAAATCATTTATAATAGCGAAACTGTGTGTTAAATCAATTCGTTAGAAATTAGAATCTCAACTAAAAAAGAAATATATTGAAAATCAACTTTGACTCTCTTCTAACCAGTTCCCGCAGTACCCGGTTTGACTAAATCCACCACTGAGTAGCTTGCGACCTATCAATAAACCCACATCTGATTGACCGCCCTGAGTCTCTAATCAAAACCTGCCTCTTTTTTTTAATCCCAATAACTACTAAACCTACCTCTGATTGACCTCCCCCCCCCGACCAAACTCTATGCTAAAACCATCTCCGATTGACCCCCATTGCCCCCAACAACCCCCTCCCCCAACACCAGCGTGTCTTATCCAACAGTCTAGCTAAAGGCCACAAGGCAGTTAACGAATGGATCTTATCTACAGGACAATACCGGATCGTTGATTGTGGACGCCTCCGCTGCGTCGCGCCCGCGCCGGGGCCAGGGTTCGCACCTAAATATTGTTTCAGACAAGTCCGAGTTATGCGAGGACCCCCTTTGATCCCCGGGCCGGCGGGGGGCGCTGGCGGGTCGTCTCCGCGCCCGAGCGGAGCAAACTTTCTAATCGGGCCGACTTGTGTTTGTGCAAACACCGGGCTTAGGTGCTTATAGCGTGAGGACCCTTGTTGTCATGTCTCTTTGTGGCCCAATCCTGCCGGCGGTAAAGCCAGAATTTACTTGTCCGGCCGGGCATCGGATTGTGAGAGTATCTACACCGTGGTGATGCCCACCTATGTTCAAGCGATTCGTTTATTTTTCGCTCGGTTTAATCAAATAGAAGAATACACACATTTTAAAAAAAAAAAAAATGTTAAACTAGCGATTGCAAATTCCGCTTCTGAAGTGTTAAGGACTCTGGAGTTGGGGAGGTGGGGTTGCCGGCAGTGAGTCGGAGATTAATACTACAATAATTATACAGCCATTGTTTGCACGGTTTTCTCTGTAATCTTTCTCACATAAAGTCGCCCATATACGATAAACACACAGTTTGTGTTATGTAAGGTTTACACAAGGCTCAGCAACAAGGCAGTTGGGATGTTTTCCAATTGTTATAAACTTGTTTCAGACAAAGTAGGGGATCGTGCGGGCGCATATAAGGGTTTGTTATCTGGAGGATGGGGGGGGGGGAGATTACATGAAGGCGCCACAGAGCGACTTCGGGATTGCATTAAAAAAAAAAAAAACACCAACCAACCAACAAATAGAATAGTCTGTCTAGTCTTAATTCTACCGCACTGAACTGAATCAGGCTGGTGACCAGATTGAGCACCGGGTCCAACTTTTCAAAGATTCTGACATTTTTGGTTAGAAGCTCCAGATTTATCGATTAGTTTCTGTTTTAAAAACAAGCATCACGAATCTTTCATGAATAATCCAAGTCAGTCCCACAAACATGGATCTTTTCGGCCGGGTTCCTTTCTTTCGTAGTTCATTATCCCCTTCAAAAGACCAATCTCCTCAATGATCACCTAGATGCTCTTAGTGCCCTAAACAATTTTGGCACACGTAATATTATAGAGGGGAGTTTTTATTATTTTGTTTTTTAAAATTCTCAGAAACGTCCACACTTCCTCACTCTCTTTCTGTCTGTCTCTTTGTCTCTCACTTTGTCTATCTCTCCCTCTGTCTGTCTTTCTGTCTCTGTTAGTCTTTCTCTCCGTCGTTCTGTCTCTCTTTCTGTCTCTCACTTTCTTTCCGTCCCTCTGTTTGTCTGTCTGCCCCTCTCTCCGGCTCTCTCTCTCTGTCTTTCTGTCTCTGTTAGTCTTTCTCTCCGTCTTTCTGTCTCTCTTTCTGTCTCTCACTTTCTTTCCGTCCCTCTGTTTGTCTGTCTGCCCCTCTCTCCGGCTCTCTCTCTCTGTCTTTCTGTCTCTCTGTCAGTCGATCTATTTGTCTCTCTGTATGTCTCTCTGTCTGTCTTTCTTCCTGTCTCTCTGTCTGCCTCTCTCTATGTCTGTCTTTCTGTATTTATGTCAGTCAGTCTGGCTTTCTGTCGCTCTATCTGTCTCTCTCTCTCTCTCTGTCTGTCTATCTGTCGCTCTCTCTGTCTGTCTTTCTGTTTCTCTGTCTTCCTGTCTCTCTGTCTGTCCGTCTTTCTGTCTGCCTTTCTGTCTCTCTGTCCATCTGCCTCTCTATTGTCTTTCTTTCGCTATGTCTGTCTCTCACTCTGTCTTTCTGTCTGTCTTTCTCTCTGTCAGTCTCTGCGCCTGTCTCTCTGCCTATGTCTGTCTGACTATCTGCCTGTCCTTCTGTCTGTCTTTCTGTCTGTCTTTCGGTCTGTCTTTCTGACTGTCTCTATGTCTTTTGTTCTGTCTCTCACTCGTAAACACTCACACACAAACATAAACACACAACGAAGGTCCCCGACAATTAACTTAATGAGTGGCAATTTTTTTTTTCTAATCATCCACAAAAACAATCCCTCTTAGATACAATCCATCATCCAAAAAAAATTAAATTAATAGAACTTTGAACACACAAAAAAAAAAAAAAAAAAAAAAAGTTTTATGTAAGAAGTTACACATCTTTAAAAAAAACACAATACCGCTGGAAAATAAATGCCATGCGCCCCACTATAATATTTGTCCATTAAATGAGGCCTACAGGGGATCAGCATTGTTTGGTATCCACGGGACATCAAAGGAATTCTCGACCTGTTTCTCTCGCTCTGTCATCTGACTTGGTTACCTTTTCTTTTGCCCCCCTTCCAAGCACGCACTCCGAGCTTGTAACGCTGTCAGGCGAGGAAACCGTTTGCGTTTGTTGCCCAGCCTTGATTACCGAGAGATTACTACGCCATTTTGCCATATCACATGCTGGTCGCTACTTTTTTGTGTTCATGCGTGCGCACCGCAGGAGTTATTAATCCCGTGGGGACAGTGTTAACTCTCCGTCAAAGACTGGTTATAGCCCCTATTTCCACCCCCACCCCAATTCCCAAACAAATAATTTGAAGAAAGAACCCCCACCAAAAAACAAAAACAAAAAAAAACGCTGTTGGTCCAATCAAAATTAACCCACATTGAAACATGACACGCCCATCATGTGACATCCGACCAATCATAAATGGAGTAGCCCATAGGCGGTTTCGAAATGTATATGTTTGTGAGTACAAATTTGAATTTTATTTCAGTAGAATTAATATATTTTTTTTTTTAAATATCAACAATTTTTTTTTTTAACAACTAACAGAGAAACATGATGTTTATAAGCATAGAAGGAATTAATTCTGGAATTTATCACAGTAAAAATGGTTCAGAGTAGACGAAAGTCAAAACTAAAACCAGTGTTTCCGAAACTTTATTTCACCTCCCCAACAACTGTGTTTTTGTTTTTTTTTGTTTTTTTAATGGAAGACCAAAAAACATTTTTAAAAAGGGTCTGCATGCTGCCATAAGGAAGACTGA